GAACTGTGAACTCTTTGAGAATTCTGATGAGGGGAAGGACACCCAAGGCATACATAGCCATGGCTAAGGGATCACCTTGGGTTGTACCTTCATCCGAAGACAGTGAGTCGTTATCAATGAAAAGTGGTACGTTTGACCTATAGCAGTTAATTAAAATAGTAGCAATGGATGGACATAGTTGAAGGATGTTAAGGGGCAGTACGTCTGTTAAGAGAATTAAAGGCATTACTAGCATCAACAAGGAGAACAGCTTCACAATCCAGTGATTGGAACATAGCACAAACAGAGTCGCCTCCAACAAATGGCATCTAAACCAGAGGGACCAGAAGATCCAGTAGTTTTGAGAGCAGTGGACCTAATCAAATCAGGAGTAATGGCATCAAACAGTATGGGATCATAAGGACTTGTAGCAGACGGAGAAGAATTTAAAACTAATGCTTGTAGTTGAGCTGGTTGACCAGGGGGATGCTTATCTAGTAGGATATCTTTTACTGAACACTCATCTATAAGGGAGTCTAGCGATAAAACTTTGCCTTTCTCATTATCGATAATAATCGCAGAGCAGCCTTTGTATTACCCAGAAACATTAAGTCAGAAAAACGACGAGCGAGTCTGTAAGTCTGATTATGCTTGAGTCGTGACTGAATAGCTCTTCCTTCTCTGACAAGGGACTCTATGTCTCCATCATACCACAGAGTAAGGCGCCTATCAAGATGTTTGGTTAGCTCTTTAACAGCAACTTTACCAGGTGGCTTCTGAAGAAGGAGAGCAGGCATCACCATAGTAGAATAAAGTGCTATAGGCTCTAATCAGCATAGGCTTGGAAGAGCCTGGCTAGTTCCTTAACAAAGGAATCACCAACTCTACCACTTGGAACTTTAAATGTATTTCTTCTCCAATGAATCACTTCATCATAAACAGACCTAATACATGAACGAAACTCTGTGCCTTCCTTAGGTCGGTAGGTCCCCACTTAAAGTTAGGAAATTGTAATTGAACAAAGTCAGGTAATGAAGCCTGAGAAGCGTCTAAATCATCATGATTGGTGAATATTTGTGGTGACTGGTGAAAGGGAAGGAGTAGATAAAGCTGTGTTTGAAATAACAGCAGGTGGAGGGTTGATATTGACTCTCATAATGGGGTTAATTGAAGAAAGTCAGGTAATGAAGCTTGAGAAGCCTCTAAATCATCATGATTGGTGAATAGTTGTGGTGACTGGTGAAAAGGAAGAAGTAGATAAAGCTGTGTTTGAAATAACAGCAGGTGGAAGGTTGATATTGACTCCACATACTAGATCTGCTTCTGGTGTTATTGGAGCAACAGACTGAACAGAAAAGTTGTGACAGTGACCATTATGTTTGGGAAGACAGCTGAAACAACTTCTACCAGCCTTTACAAACATGAGACACAGCGACCTCTTCCATTACAACCGCAGCAACGAGGACCATCCGCCATTGTGGGGGCGTTGTATGCAACTATAGTGATGGGCGATTCCGATACCAAAATACTCAATTCTTCGATTCCTAGGCAGTATCGAACTGGTATCGAAACATTTTGAATACCGAAAATTTCGATTCCGAGTACAACCACACCCACTTAACTACAATAATTGTTAATAAACTACTAGTTAATTACAAAATTAAAATGTAAATATTTTTTATTGTTAAAAATGAACACCAAGAATAATAAATATTGCTTCTCCAGCTGCTCTCTGAACTTTCTCAGTCTTTCTGGATTGTTGTTTGAGTCTTCGAGATGGTAAAAAAGTGAGGAAGTGAACAATGAAGCCTGTTTTTAGTGCTCATGGTCAATTATAGCAGCAGTAACTGGCTGAAAGTACCTCTGGACTTTGACCTCCTCAGGTACTCGGAATCGTACTCAATACCATCGATACTCAGAGAAAAGTACTCGGAATCAAACCGAATCAGATTTTATTGGTATCGCCCATCACTATGCAACTATGCATCAACTTCAAGAGTAGATATTAGATAATAATTTACTCTTGTATACATGTGCATGTACAAGCAAACTGAACTCACTAGTAAAAGCTTTGCCCAATGAGCCCCAAGTATTTTCCCAGTTGAGATAAGGTGTGTGAACAAATAATGATGCAAGTAATTTGACAAAATTTAATTTTTTGTTTCAGCCCAGCTACATGTACATTGTGTATGTGTTAGTTATTTGTGTCACATGTGAAAAGCAACAGGTTTTGCCATGATAGAGGACTTGTAAATTTATTGGTACACGTACAACATGTACATGTATGTGTTTTAGTGACAGTTGGAGCTATGGGGTCAAGCTGTGTTATCTACATGTAGGCTGAACAAAAGTATAAGTATACTGAAATGTTTTTAAAGTACTAGTGCAAGAAAAAGTTTAACTTTATACTAGTCTTTAACTACTTCAGTACAAGTACAAGCACAATGCACTATTATTTATGGGCATAGCCTGAACATACAAGAAGGTACAAATGTACTTCAAAAATGATTCAAAATAGGGAGTGCTCATGATATTGATATCAAGGGTCTAATGCAGACAAAATCTGTTGAAACTAACTTTACAACTTAGACATGTAAGTAGGTGCACTGAACACTTTTTAAATTTAGGCACTAAGTACTAAGTGTCCAGGTAGTAGTTCTGTATCATAATAATAGCACAATTATGTACATGTATGTGTATGTGGTTTATTAGACAATGACAAAATGGCAGATCTGTGTGAAATAGTGATGTTCCCTAAAGAATTAATCCACAAAAGTAATCAATTCAATGATCCATAGTATATTCAGTACTGCTATTACTTCTTAGTTTTAGTTATCACATGTATTCCTTACCCAATTGTATTGTATTGTTGTACCATATCTCTGTAGTATGTGATTTATGGGTTGGGGTTGGGTAACACTATTATTTTTACAAGAAGTTAATTTTACTTTCCTTTCAAAGTAATGTCCTGTTTATTATTGTAGTTAGTGAGCCCTGTATTTTCTTTTAGGCTAAAAGGGATCCTTACAAAGAAGAGGAAGAATTTGAGAGACAGAGGGAACACTTGAAAAAGGAACGGAAAGAATATAGGAAATATAATGAAATGGTGATTGTATATTTGTGTATTACCCTTATAATTTGTATATTGTTTGCTTTAAAGGTGATGGATGAAATTTTACCTAAAGCTACAGGTTTTGCTGCAAAGATAGAAAAGAAAAGAGCCAGAGTTGAAGCAAGACGAGAAAGAGAGATCAGTCCTGGTTAGATTTGATTCCTTGTCTTAATTTTACAATTTTATGTAGACTTCAATGAGTCTACATTAATGGGAGGTGCAACAAGGTACATGTACATACAAGGGATAGGTTGAAGTAATGGAAATTTGATTTTTGTAGTGACATCAAAGCCAAACTTATGACAGAGCAAAAGCAAAGGTATGCACTTCAATTGATTTTGTTAAATTTACATAATGATAGAGAACATAGAGCACAAGCTGCTAGTCAAAAGATTATTGATTACCAAGCAAAGGAAAAAGCAAGAGTAGCTGTAAGTAAATGCAGTCTGGCTTCATATATACATGCACATGTACTGGGATGGGGACATAGGCAGAAAGTTTTGAGGCAAGAACTTCACAAATGACGCCACTTACATTTATTCACAAATTATTTACCTTTGATCTTCCTTTGTTTAGGCAATATTAGAGCAGGCTAGAGCAAACAAGAAGGAAGGTTCATTATGGTGAATGAGCTAATTTAATAATGATATATCAATGAGACCACAAGAATTTCATATTATAATTAAGTGAAGCATACAGTCAGCAAATTTTGGCCCTGGATTGCATTAAAAAAATTTAAATGGACATGATTATGTTATTAATTGTACTAAGAAATTTAAGGTATTTACAAAAAATAATTATTGTAATTTATAAAGAAATAAAATTTGTCATGATTGTATTGAAGGAAAACAACCTAAAGGTCTAGAATGACACCAGAGCTTGAGAACACGTTTACCAGCGAAAGTCCCATACACTAAACAGAAAAGACAACAAATAATTAAAGCTACGAGTCGTTTGTGAAAGTTTCTGATCGAATAAAGGATGAACAATGAAATGATGTGAAGAATTGCAAATGTTAGCAGATGTACCACACATTCAGCAATTCTCTTTGAGTAGATTTCAGGATTGCAGTTACCAGCCACGTACAAAAAATAACACAATGGACCATAGAATAATAATAAAAAAGTTAACAGCCACATACCGTACAGGAGCCATGCTTGAACTGGCCACATTGTTGAAGGTATAAGCTGAAATGCACCAACATAAGAGACAACCAAAATTATTAATGGTATGAGACTAACAATAAAACCGTCATGAGCAGAAGCAATGAAATTCATGGCAGACTTGGTACATGAATGATTAGCAATACGAAACATCATTGGGAAGCAACGAAGTACTACGTAAAGAAGACCCAAACATACCAGTGGCATGACATTGCTCATTAGAAAGAGAGATGGATCATTTACATGTGATGCAAGCTTAGTTCGATAAGAATACCACATCCAGTTAACTTCTAATAGAGGGTATGTCCACCAGTACACAGGGTGTATCGAAAGCATCTCATAGTCAATGACAAATATCTCATCATCACTCATATACCAATGACTGTTTACTAAATGCATGAATATGCCGACCTGATATCCTGCAGAAAGACGAAGAGGTTCTTCATTGTATGAAGGATCTTTTGGATCATACATGACAGAGTACTTTAACTTGTAATAGTTATTGTAGAATTTATTAAGCAGTATGGGAACAGTTATTTTATTGGAGCCTTCACGATCCCATGTTAAAATTCGACTCAACTCAATTATTGATGGTTTTACAACCATGACAGTAGTACGGAATGAATTGGATATCTGAAAAACAGCACAAAAGTTACCACACCTGAAAAGATGGTCAATGTTCTTTACAACTAATGCGTTTGGCTCAATCCACACAACACGTCGATACTCAGTCATTTTCCATAACTGGAGCTTATTAAAAGAAGCATCATCTATAGGGCGAGGGTCAAACTCTTCAATCATTCGTATAGTCCAACCATTTTCTTTAAGTATTGCTTTAGACTCAGCTGTCACATCTGGTGGACATAGAACAACTCGTTCGATGGAGCTCTTGGTTTCTTTCAGAGACACACCTAATACGAGGACCATTAACAAGGATGCTTCTGACTTCCCGTTAACAAGTGTCACATAAGCCTCCTTTCCAAACGGCTTAATGGAAGGACGGGGAGCTTTAGGACCATTCTTTCTCAAAACAACCGGACCTTGCTGCTGCAACTGCCCCTCGACTAAGCTAAGAGAGATGAACAAGATTAGAACCAAGGGAGTTCTTTCCATTCTCTCTCTTCTCGATCTCTTTCTCTTCAATTACGCAACTTGAATCACGTGACATTCACGTGCAGCTGCATTCATGGACACTACACATCTTTGAAGTTTGAGCCATTCACTTTGCCATTTCGAAAACTGAGTTAATATATTATTTCAAACTGGTGCAAAACTCCTTTTTTTATGTATTCTTGCAATAAAACATTACATAAGTCATTACACCTAGTCTAACTACAGCATACTTTGATAACTCACAAGTTATCTATCCCATTAATTAAGAAATAGCCTACCTTAAGCCTACTATTATTTGCATCTACTAATTTTAGCAAAATCAGCAAAAGTCATGTTTAACGTTACTAATTTTAGCGTTTTTAACCAAATTAACAATAAATAATAACCATTATAATGAATAATAATTATTTTGGCGTCTATTTACAATTTAGCGGTTTAAAGCTTTCTCGCTAATATAGCTAAATTTAGTAGACGCTAAAAATAGTAGGCTTAAGGTAGTTATAGTTGAGGCTCAAAAATTTTGTCTTCATCAAAAATGAAATTACTTTCACAAAAATCAAAACCCTTTCTCTATTAACACAAACCATCCCATAACAATAACATTCTGTGTGTACATAGATCTAGTAAAGTATTACAATTTTGTAAGTTTTGCCATGTAACTTTATTCCAATTAATGTATTGTAATAAAAAGTATAAAAGTAGAAAAACAAAAAGCCAATCATGGCAAAACATTAATTTTTAAAATCCTTTATAAGCAAGTATTGTTGTTGTTTCACCTATTTTTTGCCTTGCTTCTTCTGTTTTGCAAAAAAATTCTTGTGCTTTACCATCATTTATCATTTCCCTCCATTTATCTTGAATTGACTTTATCTCCTCATCAGTAGCTAGTGACCATACACTATTATACATGTGCATGTAGATGTACATGTAAGTGAAATTAAAGACAGAAAAGATTATATTGACTAATTATTCATTCACATTACCTTGTAGCATCAATCCATTCTTTATTTAATGGTCCTTCAATGTTTGAGTGAAGCTCATTCTTCATTACGCATTCAGTTTTATGACAATGTGGTAACACTGAATGAACTTTAAACCCAACTTCTTCTAATCTTCTGCATAATGTATTTATGGGCGGAAACCTATTAAAAGATACATGTAATTATATCAAGCATAATATTAATCCTTTATCTGCAACAAACAAAAATTTGTAAGCATAAAGTTGAGACTATAATCACTTGCATAACATTACTTTGACTGAAATATCTCTTGAACTCTTTTAGGAGCTAACATGAAGAAAGCAGATGCTTCTGCTAGTTGGTGATGTCCCATTGTATTAATGATAAAAGCTCCTTTATCATTCAGTACACTGTATACATCATTAATGACCTTGCTAGGCCCTGAATAATCAGGGGGAACACTGTCTTTAAGATGATGAAGCACCTAGGTATTATTCAAAAATTAAGATTATTAGTAATAACCAAAACATGAAACTTTAAAATAGCCATTCGTTGAGCTCAATACATACTACATCTGGCAAATTTTTAATGCTCATAGGTAATGCCAAATAAAGTTAACAAATTAAAGAGGATATAACTGAAAATGGTCACTAACCAGACCACTGAACAAACGTGCACAAAAAGTGAGGCTAGGCTAAGGGATAAGAAGTAACTGAAATCAATTAAAAAGATGAATGCAGCAGAAACTTACTAGGGTACATATAACAACGTCACAGCATTTCTCCGGTACTATTTTATGTAAGTCAGATATATTTCCTTCATATGTCTTGAAGTTCTCAATGCCCTTATTATTAGCTTCTTCAATCATTTTAGAATTGACTTCGATTCCAATTATTTCTTTTATGTAAGGACTTAATTCCTTCGCATAGTTACCTGTGCCACAACCTTTAAAGTTAACAGACAGGTAAAACATATATGTTACAAACACAATAAACAAAATATTGTAATATAGAGTATGTATGATTACAAATGCCTTTGCAAGTGCAGTTTATGCATACAAAATAAGAAATTTTATCACAAGAATATCAAGATTACAAAGGGGACAGACAGTTATTCATGTCATATCATGCAGTCAAATTAAATCAATCAATATTAATCAAAAGAAATTAAGATTTTGATTTTCATTGTAATCAAATAAGTCAATCAATATGATTGATTAGGAAATGACGTATTATGCTTGTATCTAGTTGAGAGTTTCAGTGATACCTGCTCCTCTAAATCCATTTTGATTATATTAGGATGCATTTCATGTAACAGTACAGTGGAACCAACCATTGAGCTCTCAATAGCTTCAGAACATTTAAGATTGAGATCAACAGTGCTAGAATCAATTTTATCAATTTTCTTGTAAATCTGACCAGCATACCATTCACGGAACCTTTGATGTAGAAATCTTTGGCAGCTTTATTACACCAATGTCCATGGGATGGAGCCTACAGTGTATTCGTGCAGCTTGCTGGAATCAATACAGTACTGATGTGATTTTCTTCAAATATCAAACATACAACTAGTAATTTGGCCTCCAAATTAGTGAAAGATAATAAACTCCCAGTTATAATTACTGACTTTCAGTTATTCACGCTTCTTAGGAAAGTAAAAAATGATTACCTCCTTCATTGTTACTTCATTAGCACCATGGCTAATTGAACATGTTATATCATCTAGCTAGGAACTTCACTAGTGAAAGAAAACGAGTGATTGTGCCTTCATTAATTAGTTATATAGGCAAAAATCTTCTGGTACAAAATGGCAGGATTAATTTGGTGAATGACTATCAAAACATCAAATTCGCCTAAATTACCAGCTACACAATAAATATATCGGCGGAGTCCTTTTGACACATTGAAAACCCTTATTATAAATTATAAACCATGTTTTTTACTGAAGGGAACAAGATACACATAAACCATGAGTATGACTGAAATTTAGCAATCAAGATCTCACGACACACACATCAGGGGTTAATTAAAACAGATCAATCAACATAAGCCTGTAAATGTAATCCTGATCTTTTAAATTAAAATAATGTAGTTTAATGCATGGGAATCACTTAACCACGTGCCAACTGCCTTGTAGAGATGTAATACATATAAATATTTAAAAGCAAACATAGAAAGTAAAACTATGTTAGTTTATACAAGAAACATTCGTTTGACTGTAAACATATCACTTCATTGAGTATGAATGTGGAAGCAAGCATAACGCTATGCCCTACATTTGTAATTTAGCTACTGACGATTATTAAACCTATTTTCAATTTTTCACACTCCACCCATTGTTAAGTTTTACTACTGATGCTCCACAGAGGAGCTGTACATTGACAGATAAAATTATGCTCATTATATGTACCAATATCTAACACAGTAGCTCTCTTCGAAAATCCTCCCATTACACGAGTCACAGCTCCTAGTATTACATCAACACCAATTGGTTTCCTTCCTAAAATTAAGATAAAAACAAAGTAAGAGATTAACAATCAATTACGTCGGTCATATCCTTTAGATATTTCACTATAATTCTCGAAAGACATTCTTTGTTTTGTGCTCGGTTTTGTGGTGAATCTGTGATAATGTGTGATTAAGAGCTGATGTCAGTGAGGTGGAGCTGCTGGAGCACTGAGCTGATATGACACGTGATGTCACGAGGGGACCACGCCCATCTTCAAAGATGTCTACATGTATGTCTATTAATTTAACAAATCCTTGTGTACTTGGCTAATTTCTCACACAGGTAATCTTGATAGACCTCAATTTGCACATTCTTCGATTTCCTTGAGGAAGCCATACGTATTATCGACTCCTGAAATTGTTCCATCCATTTGTGTAAGTTGTACGCGAAGTTGTACTTGAGCTTTGACAATTATATATATATATGATGAGCCATTCTATTAGTGCGACAAGTGTTATGATATTGATGTTATGTCATGTCTTGCTAGCATTCCCTCACTGCTTACTCAGTTTTGGACCGCCTACCTTTGTCTTAATTTGTGGGTCATGAACTTATGAATATCCATCTTGAATATCTTGTATGAGGGAAGTCATGTGTAAAAAAGACTATGCTCAATCCTCAACCAAATTTGAACTACTTCAAATGGACCTAATTGTGCTAGCAAGACTGAAGCCACATCATACTGTATATGTTGGGTGTTCATTCAACTTGAGATTTTCTGTGTTGATAAGATTGTCAGACCCAATCCATAACCTGAGAAGGACATGTATTCATGTTATGAATCAGATATAAGGGATGAATGTACTGTACATGTTTTTGTGTGTGCATATTTTGTTGAACTAAGTGAAATTATTGTTAGAACTACAAATTTGACATTAGGTCCCAGCACCTATTAATCAATACCTTCGTGAATATCAGCGGGATGGAATTAAATTTTTATATAGTCAGTACAGCAAAGGAGTTGGTGGACTATTATGTGATGACATGGGCCTTGGGAAAACGGTCCAGGTATGTACGCATCAATTAAATTATAACCAATAATGATTTTAATATTTTAGGTTATTGCATTTATATGTGCTATTCTATGTAAAACTTGTACTAAGATCGATGTATTTTTAACAGGACCAAAGCTGGTAATGCATGTGTAATTTATTGTATATCTATAATTAAATCTAGGTTATGACAACATCATTGCGATATTTTTGATTAATATGTTATTAGATTTACATGTAAAGTTTGGTCAATGTACAATGTACATAAACTCAAACCCTTAGCCCTCTAGTAAAGCAAATTTGGTGTGGAATTAATATTTAGTCAAGACGTTAACCACTATAGTATTTAGATGACACTTTGTAGATATTTATGGTGGAAACAATTGACTGACTTTAATTTTTGTAACTGCAGTAATTTTATCTGAAATTGCTTAATTTAAATGTGCTGTTTATTACATTTTGGGCATAATACATCACCAATACAGAAGCTCATTTCACTCATATAATTATTTTGCATGCATTGCTAGATAGAAACCAATAGTCATGTTATTGCAGATTGTGATTTGGTGCAACTATTTTAGCTACATGTACTTGTGTTAACTTTGTTTATTTTGCTTTGCTTTCTTGGTTCTGCTCATTCTACATCTAAGGAAATGATTAATTGTGTTTATGATTGTGTTTGCATATTATATTAGGTTGTCAGCAAAAGTGCTGTTTTAGTGATCTGTCCTTGCTCAGTAATATATAATTGGGTTTCTGAAATTGAAACTTGGAGTCACCTTAAAACTGGGTTAGTATCTTAGAGGTTTATGAAATAGATTTATTATTGTAATAGGCTAGTTAATTATTTATTTTAAGTGATTATTTTAATTAAAAGTGTTTTAATAGAGTTTACCACCGAAACAAGAAAGATGAAATACTTGATAAAGTTTCTCGTGGTCGGTTAGATGTTGTATTAACTACATTAGAAACAGCCAAATTGAAAGTAGTATGTGAAGAATAGTATGTACTTCGAGTGTTTGCTTTTAGGAAGAGCTTAACTCTATTCCTTGGTTGGCAGTTTTTGTGGATGAAGTTCATGCTCTAAAGGTAATGTTAATGTATTTCATGAGTTGTTTAGAAGGTTCAGTCTCACACATCTCATGTATTTGTCATTAAATAACTGATTTTAATATTTTTTGAGTCTGGCCATCTTCCTACTTGTATAAAAAGCCCCTTTAATTGCCATTTGTCTTGGCCTTTTAGCTCTTTATGTACAAGCATCAAGCATGTCTTTCAGAATTCATGGCATTCATTTTACCTTGAATTATTCTGTTCCTTTTGTAGAATCCTAAAAGTCAAGTGACTGAGGCATTATTACAGCTAAAATGTCAGATAAGGTATAATTTAGTAGATAAGTATGCAAACAAATGAACAAATGAACTTGTACACTGCAATGTAGATTTGGATTGACTGGGACTGCTTTGCAAAACAGGTTGAGTGAATTATGGTGTATATTAAACTGGTAAGTGAGAGCTGGTACTTCATTGTAATTACCACTTGTAAAAAGCTTTTGTTCAGTCAAAATTACTTTGAATTATTTTGATTTATGCACATGTAGGATACATCCTGGTTGCCTTGGAGCATGGCATGAATTTCAGTTTATTTATGAACGCCCTCTTCTTCAAGGGCAAAAATTTGACTGTACTAGAAGGGAACTTGCAACTGCTAAAGAAAGTTAGTTGTTATAATTATGGATATTCACAACTGTGTATGTATACTTTTTCATTCTCCGCAAGTTATTCAATTGATTGTACAGGTCAATTGATATTGGACCTGTTTTTCTCTTTAAAATAGAAATGCTCACTTTAGTTTAGTTCTAGTTATGTTTTCATGTAGTTTTATATGTACCTGTATAAGGTACTTGTAGTCTAGTTTTGACAGCCAATTGGCCAAAATTGATATGTGTCAATGTCAGCGTCTCTTTAATAGAACAGCAACAACTCTCACAGTTGCTGAGTGATTGGATGATAAGAAGGACGAAAGAACTAATTGCAGATCAACTTCCTAAAAAAGGTTTTTTGGTGTCAAAATTGTCTCTTATCTTTTTTGTTCCTGTGTAGAGGAATTTGTCGTTTTTTGTCCAGTTACAAAGCTACAAGGGAACATTTATTCAACCATTCTAGAAACTGATGAGATGGTGAACTTTGTTGAAGCACATCAACCCTGTTGGTGTAATAGTGGATTATCTAAGTTAAATTGTTGTGACAAAGTATGTTTGACATGAATGATTCAGTATAGCTAATTTTGTTCAACTATTATCTGTGTAGCATTGCAGTAGTGGATTGTTATCTGTTCAAGGCATTTACCTGTCTTTGTTACTGAAATGCTCTAATCACATTGGTTTACTCCTCCCATCATTCTTTGCCTCCGATAAACAAAATGAGAAAGTGCTCTTTTATTTTGATTTATTTGTTTATTTGTTCATGTACATAGGCGTATCAGATATGTAAACAAGTGTTTTCTCATTATCCTGAATTTCTTGAGATGTCAATTGATGCTTCTTTCTTAACTTTGGCAGACCCTACTTATTGTGGGAAGATGCAAGTTAGTTTAACTTACATGTGTATACTCATATATTGTTTCTTAAGCCACAGTAGTTATAATTTAGAAGTGTGTTAATTACATTCATCGTGTTCAGTAGTTAACAATTTGTGCAAATCATCTTTTAAAATCTTCATTCTGCCACACTACACAATGAAGTTAATATGATTTACATTTAGTTATTAATCTAACATTTTGAGGCATTGTTATATAAGATCAAATTAGGAAGAAGGGGCATTATTTTGTTTCTTTAGCATTGAAACATGCTCCACTCTTGAATAGAAATTTCTTTACCATGAGTAACACACCTAATGATTATTATACATGTATGTGTATATTAGCAAGAGTGGATAAATATTTAGATATTGTCGAAGCTTCTCAGTCACTTTCATCTGGAGTCATCTAAAGTAATAATATTTTCTGAGTCTGTACGGGTATGTTTTGAAAGTTAAATGTTTTAATTTTCTGTTTAAAATATCAGTTACTTAATATTTTGGAGAATTATATGGTCTGCAGAAGCTATACTTATTGTCGATTGGATGGCAGTATGAGAGTAGAAGACAGAGGTGCAGTTGTCAGTAAATTCAATTCTGATCCTTCTCTATTTGTTTTTCTCATTTCAAAAAAGTTAGAGCTAATTAAAAATTAAGCCTTTATTATTTTATTTTAAATGTACATGTTTTAGGTGTGGTGGAGTTGGTTTAAATATTACTGGTGCCAATCGTGTTATCATATTTGATCCAAGTTGGAATCCAGCTAATGATCTGCAAGCAGAAGATAGGTTAGTATTATTGTTTTTTTTGCATGTAATTAGGCATTTTTTGTTGGGGGTATGCTTTCATTTTCTGCTACAATTACTTTCTGGTCATGGAGTATTGGCAGTTAATGTTCGAAACTTTATTGAAGTGCCATAGTTTGAATCATTTGCATTCGTGTGATGTCTGCCTTTTTAAAATAAACTGCTATATATCATTTTAAAATTTTAGCCTCTCAAATATTTTTCAAAGTACATGTAATTATAGTAAAATAATTTTTGACTTAGGAAATCATTAATTTTTTCAATTATTAGAGCTTTTCGTATTGGTCAGCGGCAAAACGTTGAAGTTTATAGGCTGATTAGTGAGGGTACTATTGAAGAAATTTTGTACCTCAGACAAATTTATAAACAGGTACCTGTAGAATTATTGTACTCAAGTTTCAATGCTTGCATATAATTTGTCTTGCATTTTTTTACAAATTTTGTTAAAACGTGTTACCTGTAGCTGTTTTTAAAGGGTACAAAGCCTTTCTCATGAAAGTACATTGTACGTGTAGTAGAGTCCTTACAGAATGCCAGTAAAAGAAAAAAAAGAGCAATAATTTTAACCAACAAGCTGACTTTCTGCTTATGCAAAATGCCTCCTTTCTCATAATCTGGGTTGAATTCCTTGATTGGTTTCAGTTTTTAGTAATAATTTTTGTATGCAACTTTATTGTATTATCTAGCAACTGGCCAATACAGCCATTGAAGGTAGCAATGAACGAAGATATTTTACTGGAGTTGATGGAGATAGTGACAATAAAGGAGAAATTTTTGGCGTCTTAAATTTATTTCAACCATTACGAAGTGGGGCATCACTAACTGAGAATGTATTAAAGGTTTGTAAATTACTTCTTTAATGATACAGTCTAACAAGTTATACTTTATATTGTTCAGAGATTTGATCAAGGAATGAAAATGAGGTATGTATTAACTAATCTGTAATATAATATGCTTGACTACTCATAAGTCGATAGCATGACTACATGTACATATGCATGTCATGCTGTCTCTACTTTGATCACAGCAAATAGTTGCATGGTGCTGTATGTGCTCATGTAAAAAAGCTACATAGCAGTATGTACATTTTGAAATTTTGACAAGCATACCATATTTTGACTTGTGTATATAAATTGAAATGTACATGTACATGTACATGCTAGAATTGTTTTTATTTTCAATATGTCTGTTGCAGTAGTACGCAGTTCACTTACTGTGATTTTCTTCAAGGTTTGTTTTTAAATATCCGCTATTGCTTGTCTGCTTTACATGTGCATGTACACACGTAGGTGTTAAAGTTTTAATTCATCATGGTCAAATAGTTGGTAACAGTCCTGCTGAGGAACATATAAGACACCAGGCAATATGCCACCTTGATAACGACTCTCAATTACCAGCCAACCTTTTAAATATTCAGGTAAGCTAGCATCATTCTGCATGGACTCCACATATGATATAATGGTGTCATGCAACAAGTAACATGACCCTGTTAGATTTTATGACCTAGGCATTCATGTAACTAATTCTCTTTTTATGAGTGTGATTGGAGTTTTCTGTAGATTAACGAGATTTACTGATTTAGTATTGAAATAAATTAATGGTCACATGTGTGAGAGAATAATGAGGTCAAGTAACAGTTGCTTAATGCATGTACATGTAATTACTCTTTAATTTTTTGAATGCATGTATCAGTCACTGAACTTTTAAATTTTGCTTTTAAATGCATAGCATGAAACCTTTGTGAGAACATGCTTGACCTATAGTTATTGTAGAAACTTCTGATTTTTGTTACTTTTATTAAATAATTTTAATTCTTTTAACAATGTAACAATGCTTTCTAGAAATATAGGATTATTCTTTAGTTAGTTTAAGCAGTAATAAGTAGCATGGTTATTGAAGCTCAAGATATTTGTTCCAATTTATCCCTGTGACTTGTAAAGGCAGATTTACACTGCAAAATTAATTAATGTAAGCTAAGGCCATACGTTAAGACAGGAAGTATGTATAAACCAATGGCCAATTGTAAGAGGAGAGATAATTTCAACTCTTACGTTACGTAAATGGCTGCCATTGGTTTATGCAGCACTTCCTGTGTAACTTATAGCCTTACCTTACGTTAATTTTGCAGTGTAAATCGGCCTTAACCTGTTAATGCTTTCTACAATTTAATGCTGCATATCAAAATTGTTGCATATCTGTATGCCATTTAAAATGATTGACTCTCCAACCATGATGTGCTATGCACAAATGTAGGAGATTCATGTATTTTTATACTTTTTACATTTCAATAAGAGTTTAATGGATGATAGCCCATACATGAAAGTAATATCATGGCATGATTCAGTGAAACCTCATGACTTATTTGTATCATCCAACATAGGAGGAAATAAAAGAAAGTAAATGTAAGGAATCGACGAAGGAAACTCTTGAAAAATCAGAACCATCAAAATATGAACCTGTGCTAACAAGGGGGCCCAAGAAAATAAAGATAAATGACTTGTTTGATTTTGATGAAGCGGTGGAAGTTTCTGGTCACTGTGGTCAGTCTGAATCATTTCATTCAAAATTAATGTCAAATACCACTGAAAAGAGCATTCTTTCCCTTGACAATTTGTTTGACCTTTAAAAATCAATTTCATTTATTTTACCGATCATTATTGTACCAACTACTACACTTATATTTTCTGTTTCAAATTTCTTGTCAGCTCGTAATTTTTCATTTCAGTCTATTAAGTATAATAACCTTAACAATTTTAGTCAGAAAATACACATGTACAGTACATGTCACAAAACAATAATAAAAGTACAGCAAGTAATAATCATTAAATTTTAGAAAATATTGCTCATAATTGGTAGATATTTTCGAATGATAAAATCTATACTGTCAGGAAATAAAGAATAAATATGACCTACAATATAGGTACTCCAGTCAATGTAAGTCCAACTTTGACGATAAGGAATTGCATCTAACATTTTCTGAGCACAGACCTATAAAAATTAGATTTTGAGTATGGTGATTTATGATTCAGGTATTGTATACTGGCCGAAATTTTCATGAAGTAGTAAAAACTAATATGTGTACAAATGCCTCACTTACATCAGCTGATATGCCATGACTTTCTCCAATTGGCTTCCAGTTCTTAAGAGCCTATATAAAAATAATAAATATTTGGATTGTGCTAAAATAACTGCACCGTTTCGGTATGTACATAAGGTAAAGGAATTATAGTGATTGATACTGGTGTATTAGTGAGATAGAATTCCTGACGAAGACCTTTAAAGAATCCTAAATAGTAACTTAATTGATGGTAAAATAATTCAAAAGTACCATTAAGACCATGTTTACTAGTGCCATATGGGATAACTTGTGGCATTCCAAGTTGACTGGCACTAGATGATACTGCTATTATGCTTCCATGACTTTTATTAAGATAAGGCAATCCATATTGTACCATGAAAACACTCTGAAGCACATTAACACTAAAAATGCATTAATATACAGTGTAGTACAAGATTAATTCAAAAATAAAATTACCTGAAAACTCTTAAAAATGCATCTCCCTTTTAGAATGATAATAGAACTATTAAGTAATTATCTAAAAAACTTACAGGCTGATCAATTTGAGTGAACCAGCTTGGTGGATATGAAAAGGCAGCATTCAAAATCATAATGTCAATTCTTTCTAATTTATGAGCTGCAATATCTATTATTTGCTTACAGTCTTTCTCTTTGCTAACATCAGCAACCACAGCATACACATGTGGAGTGTACTTTTGACAGAGCAAAGCAGTTTCCTGTAGTTTACTTTCTGTACGGGCAGCAATTACTAATCTACAGAACAGAACCATATAGCAGCTAAGTTTTCTTGATGTCAAATTTTTATACAAAACTTTGGTAAAATTGACATAGTAATAATAAATTCCAATACTTGGCAAGTTCTGATTTCCCATTTTCCTCAGGTAACTAAAACAGTTCATCATTTGTGCTACATGTATTAATAATTACATTTACTCTTATTAAAATATGATCTTCTCTTAATGCTATGAAATTGTGACTATTCTGTGGTTATGACAATGAATTAATACAAGTTTCACCCCCACATTCTCTCTGAAGTAAGACATGCTCACATAGCGTCATAAATTTTTTGTGGCATGGTACAATACCAAATAGCAAATATTTGTGGTGTGGTGAGCGACTGCAAATATAAAATTCACCACTTGTTATTATTCTGAGTATGCTTAATAAGTGACAATAACATGTCACACTTGACTCCTAAATTGCAAATATAAAGTAAAAATTTTATCAAAATAATTGTGAAATATTACTACTTTAGTCAATATTTTTTGCTATAGATCTACCATAAATCTCGAGATAGGACTGACGGCAATTAATGGTAGTTTGGATATAGTAGTTTTGAAAAGTAAAGTAAAATGACAATGACGTACTTTGCGCCAAGTTGTGCAGCCTGAATTGCGAGCTCACGACCAATCCCTTTAGATGCTCCAGTGATAATAACACCTTTACCTTGATAATATTCTATTGGTGGATCAGTTATTGATGTGTAATCTTAGATAATGGCTCACCCTACCTTTAGCATCAATTTGGTAAGTCCAATTATAAATAAACTGAACACTAACAACTATAATCAAAGCAATAGCAGGCTTAGCAGCGAACTTAAAAGCTTGGTTAAACATGATGGTTATTCTTGTGCCACTGCCACTCCTCTCTTGCTAGGCAATATGCTAGACTGAGACTCCTCCCTCTAGATGTAATGATTTAGCTCGAAAATGGTAATGAATGCACTTAACTTTGTTTTTCGAAATCATGGATGAAGAACCTCCCGAACTGCTTGTAACTAATTTTGAGACATTACCCAATGAAAATGATCCGTTTGGACGGTTTAGCAGTGATGACAAAACAGAAGACAAAGCCCCGATTGTGACAACCTTGCATAGAAGGCCAGCAGTGAGAAAAAAGGTTTCTACTGAAACTTACGGGGAACCTAGATTTATGGATGAGCAACCCGAGGTAGGTTTGATGTAGATCTAGACAATTACTTATGTTTTTTATTGCAGCATTTAGATCTGTCACAATCTATGAAGGAACTCAAGCTACATTATCCAGAAAATTCAGAAGTGAGTGTAGTTAAGGTGTAGATAGATCACAGATAATAGATTCTAGATATTTATGGTTAGATCTACTCTGCTAGTTCTACTGTTTATGCTATGACCTTAGTGTTCTAGCTGGTTGTTTAATGTTTTTTTATTATAGAAGTTGCTGAAGTATATTAAAGGAAGGAACTTTGATTTGGTGCAACGTGATCACAATGGATACACACCTCTTCATGCAATTGTCAGCAGTAGTCGTTGTGACAGAATTGAATGCTTGTTAATTTTAATGGTCCATAGTGAATATGGCACTGTCTTGATTGATATGCTTGGAGGAAAGAATAATCAGACAGCATTGCACATTGCAGTGCAGGTATTTTACCATTGCTAATTTTATTCTTTTGCTGATTTATGTTTCTTCTTGCTTTTAGCTTAGAAACATAGAGATAGTGAAAATCTTGCTGGCTTTTGGTGCTGACATCAATGCATTTGATGGTTTAAATCGAACACCATTAGATACTATTAGTACAAAAGAAACAGAACTTTCTCATGAAGCCATTTTATCTCTTTTGAAGTCATTGGATGCAAAATCCTATCAGAGCATTAAGAAAAGTGTTCAGTTGGGGCAAAGATCAAGGTTATGGTCAATTTCGTCTCATTCATCCTTAAATAAGGAGGACAAGTGTAAGAAAACAGGACAAGCTTTGGGTGGAAGGCATTTTGTAAGGATTTTCATCATTCCTTTGACCAATTTTTGTTATAACATTTTTTCAGGCTTTGGAAGAGTATATGTCTGACCTTGAGATTTCACAGAAACTAGAGAAGTATCTCTCAGCTCAGTTTGCCACTTATAGTGACATATGGGACCATCACTTTCAATTTGCACTTGGATTACAACAGTTTGAATTGCAAGGATGGAAAACAACTTGCAATCCAGCAATTCGATTTCAGGTACATTTATTATTGTATTTACTACGTGCAACCTATTGGTAACATCAAAGGTTCAAGGAGGCAGCCGTATACTATTTCTTGATGGGGGTGGTATGCGTGGTCTTATACAAATTGAAATACTGGCTATGCTAGAGAAATGTACTGGCAGGCAAACTATTGATTTATTTGATTGGATTATTGGAACAAGCACTGGTGGTATTGTTGCATTGGGATTAGTTTATGGTAATTACATTATGTTAATAATTGTTGCATAGATTTTTTTCAATAAAGGTAAGAAGACTTTGGCAGAGCTTCGACAAGTATACTTTAAACTAAAAGAAGACATTTTTTCTAAGACTGGATTTGGAATTGGGTATAACACTGAAGCTTTGGAATTAATTTTGAAAGAAAATTTTGACTCTAACATCAGAATGTCAGACATCAAGGAACCTAAGTAATAAATATTAGCGGCTAGTTTGTCATTTCACTATCTTTTTAGGGTATTGATATCTGCAGTTATGAAGAAAACAACTAACCTTAACCTGACTTTTTTCAATAATTGTTTCAATGATGAATTTTCAAATGGTGAGTTTATCATACTCTGGGTTTCCCACAAAGTATGCTAAGTGAGCTGAAAAGCAATACATGGCTTTGGAGGAAACTCTTAAAAATCATTAAAAAAATCAATTTTGATCGGAATTATGCAGCTTAGAATTTCTAAGCAACATAAGTACATGTATAATTATGTATCAGAAACAATTTATTCTCTCTTAGCCATTTTTGAGCTGCAACTTTAAAAATTCATAAAAAATCTAAACTTGATCAGCATCAGCTCAAAATTTCTATACAATATAAGAATGTGTATGTGTATAAAAAATTATTAAAATGGAGAATTCTCTTGTTAATGTGATTTTTGTCAAAATACCCTGTACTGTTGTACAGGCTATTTCATTCAATTGAAACAACTTGACAATCCAAGCTACATGAATACTATGCTAATATCTTGTGGGAACCCTGTTTATAATATTAATTTAAAAACATCACAATAGAACTAGTATGGAAAGTTGCAAGATATACCAGTGCTGCTCCAATGAATTTTTCTGAATGTGATGGATATGTTGATGGTGGTGTATTAGCAAACAATCCCAGTGAATATGGCTTAACTGCTATTCAAAATTATCACAGATCAGAAGGCATCAAATTAAACTTATGCTGTGTTGTTTCTATTGGTACTGGGAAGTTTCCTGCTGCAATATTAGGGAGTACTGATGCACATGAAGGTATATTTCACTTATTGTCTTTAAAAAAGAAAGCGTCAAATTTAATGACATTGATTACAAAAGCTGTGAGTGTAATGTGAATTTCAAAAATAGTGATAATATTTTGTTTGTTACAAAAGCTGGTTGAATCTGAAGATGTAGCTGATAACAGTAGGAGCCGCTGTAAAGAGCAGCAAATACCATTCTATCGATTTAGTCCAAGACTTGATGTGGAAGTTCAGTCTGGTGAAACTAATGTTGATGTTCTTTTAGAAATGCTTATGAAGACCAAATTTCAAGTCAGTGTAATATTAATTGATATTAGTATGTAACATGATATTAATGGCCATAGATAGCAGATGAATGGAGGAATGAGATAAAAGATCTGACCCTCTTATTTTCAAGAATGGAGACCTATGATGAGCAAAAAAGACAACAAAGACTAAAAGATAGAAGGCAAAGACATGCATTTCGATTTAAAGAAAATGATGAAAATGAACTATTTGACTGACGTATTTAACAATTTTGATTTTCATGTCCATAGTAATTATTTTTAGATACTTATTGTTTGCTATCGTGCCATTTTGTGCCACAGATGTAGAGCAAAAATGAAATTATCATTCTTGATTCTTTTAATCTTGAATGCCACACCCAAACCCAGTAAATTAATTTAATAATTTTACTGTCATTGTACTGCCTATGGTGAAACTGTGATTGATTCTATGGTAAATCATGGCAAAGAAAATGAAGAATTCTGATCAGAGAGGAAGGTTTGAGTACTTACAGGCTCTTGTTAATGAATTTCAGACGACCAAAGCGAAAGGTATTAAAATCAAGAATACCATCGTGTAACTAGGTGTAATCTCGATTATTATCTAAGTCTGTGCAGCTTAATGCTTTTCAGTTGCATATGTGGTCGAGTATGGTCCTTAAATTTATAGCCTAACATCGTTTTTGTGACAAAATTTGGTTGCTTTTGTGCTGTGAAAAACTGAAAATGTTATGGGATAGGCTATTAAAATTAATTATTGTCTATCTGTTCTTTAATTTGATTTATAGTCTTTACTATTATGGATGGGGGCTGGTGTGAGCTGTTAGTTTCTTAATATTATTTTGATTAGTGTGATGAATGATCAAAATTAACTGCTGATGTGCATACAAAATTTTCTGAATTAGTGGAGATTTTAGCTATGCATAAAATTTAATTGTGATATTTAATTGTGACTTTGAGAGATCTTGTAAAATTTAGTAATGACTGATATAATTATCTGAATATACATGTAACCTGTTTGTTGTTAGTGCTTTTTGATTAAGCGTTCAAATTAATGCATGTAATTTTAGCATCCAGGAAATACAACTCACAAAAATCTATTACTCACCAACCTTTTAATTTTTCAATTTTTAGTTGTGATTTTTTATAGACTATAAGCTACAAGTTTTGGCTAATCTTGCCAATTTTGCATATGATCCAGTGAACTATGATTATTTCAGAGAACTTAACATATTAGACCTATTTCTTGGTAAGATGTATAAAAATTATTTATAGTGTTACCGCCTTACAAGTTACAATGTATATTAGATGTTGTTGCTGAAAGTACAGATGAAAAGATGATTGAATTTGCAATGGGTGGAATATGCAACTGTTGCTTAGGTATGTATGTATTGATGCTTTTAAAACTATTGACATGCTTATAAAGGAATAAAAATTCATGTACAGTAGCTATGAGTAAAATAGTTTTTGTGACCATTGTACACTATAAATACCGTATAGTGGGTAATTTTGGAGGGGATTAAATTTGGGAAATTTGGCTTTTTGATAGCCATTCGCCAAAATAAAAATATGCCATTTTGAGCTATGATACGCATGCTGCTCAATGGCAAGTGGCCACAAATTTGCCAAATTAAAAATCTGCCAATCACCAAAATTTAGCCCCTCCAAATTCACCCACTATAGACCCCCTAGGCGCTAAGATTATTTTCAATGAAGATGATTACAATAATGATATTCATTCATAATAAATAAAATTTTCCTATACGGTATCCACCAACGATGTAAATTACTGATGGCAAGAAGGCATCAAGATCAAAAGAAAATCAAAGGCGGTGACACCGCCTGGCCATTTTTGTGAGCGCTACAAGGTACTACAGGCTTACAAGCAGCATTCATGGAAAGTATGGAGGTCAAACTACATCATATAGACCAGGTAACCCTTGCTGCAGCATAGTTTTCTTGCTATGCTTCATTTCGGCACCTTGGGCTTTGATCTGCCTTTGATCTGCCTTTGATGTGGAGAGCTTCTTGCAGTTAGTAATTTTATTCATGGGTGGCTGCCGTAAATAATTCATTCAAAACAGTCTTAGTGCCTAGGGGGTCTATACGGTATTATTTGTTATTATTACAAACATTGTAGTATCTCATGCAAGGCTAATGTGTTATTTCCATCCCTTGATTTACATTTTTATAGTGCAATGTTGTGTAAATTAATGTACATAGGTGATTAAATTTATGTATTACAATTAGATGAAACAAATCAAAACTTCTTCCTTGAAAGTGATTGCTTGGACATAGCAATAAAATGCTTAAAGTGGTCAGTCAACTTAAGAAAATTCAAATACACATAAAGTAATTATTATACTTTTGTTAGTACTAATGAAGAGACAGTTTTATCTGCTATAACAACACTGCTTTATCTCATTACTCCAGTCTCAAGAAAAGGTATTTAATTGCATTGTATAGCATCATAGTTCCATAGTATTATAATGAACATAAATTATTGTAATATAACGGTAATAATAATAATTATTAGTGTTAGTAGAAATTGAAAAATATATTCTGTTGTGCATTTTTGTAGCCACATAAATATACCCTTTTTAGTAAGGTGTTACATCAATTGTTTTATCATTGTTCTTATCTAGTTATTGTGAATCGTCAAGTATGTGACCTAATGAAACAATTTCAGAAATCATCAAACAAGAGACTAAGCAATTTAGCAACTATATTTTTACAGGTTTGTAATCGTATTATGAATTATAATGTATTCTTTGTCTTAGGATTATGCTTACATGCCATAATGTACACTAGCATTATATATTATAAGTTTTCTATTTTTTACTTCAAATTTATTAAGTTAAAATTTACATTTGACAGCACTCCATCTAGTTAATCGTACCATACCCTTTTCCATAGAGGTGCCTCCTCCACAGCAAGACCACAAACCTGCATAAACTCCTGCTGCTACTAAGTGTTTTGTTATTACAACATTTAGTGTGTCAACTTGTAAGCCTTAGTTGTTTGCTAAAATCCTTAAGAATTTGTGAAGTGTAACATGTTAAAATGGTTGAATATCAATAAAATATATATAGGTTAATTCGTTAATGTAATAATGTATAGTGTTGGTAAAAGTAGGATTGCATTCAGGTTATCACAATTGTGACAATACATTTTGAAGCCATAATGCCCTTGTCATCTGTCATCTTGTTTATCATCACTAGAATCTGGAAACGAAACCAATAACTCCCAAATATCAGTAGTAGATAAATACCTATAGAATCACCAGGAATGTTAGTTTCAGAGAATGAACCGTCATCACTATCCAAATGTAACTGGCTTTTTTCATTAATTACTTCAATCCATCTATAAAATAAAAAAATAATCTTCATTATCACAGATTGGCAACTTGCATAATGGAACGAAAATATGTATACATGCAGTAAATAAATTTAGTGCAAACCTTGTCATTTGATCTACCGTATCTGTGAAGAAGTAATATGACCTAGCAGCATATTTCATTGCTGTGAATGCACTAAAAAGACAAAATTCAAAATCAAAAAAAAGAGAAACAAACTTTTTCTTCTTTATTTCACTTGTAATTTCAGCTTTGTATCCATGAACATCAATTATTCCTAACGCTTGAATATCCTATCAATAAAATTAAACATGAAAATTTTGAGCCAGTAACAATCAACCAGTAAAAGGATGTACACTACACTGTTATATCAAAGACAAAGTTTACAGTATAATTACATGTATATTAAAAGGGTCTTACATAGGGAGTCTTATAGTAGTATATCCTGCTATTTTTTAGCACAAACCATCTTCTCCTCCAGTTTTTGGGAGTAAGACCAGTGCCTCCTAAATGTATATAAAGAAATTATGTAGATAATGTACATTTCTAAAGTCTCAAAACAATATGAATTGAGGTACACATAGCAGTCACACCAATTACAGACTTTTAAATGTAAATCTTTGTAATACTACTTGTTGTCAAAAATTCTCTGGTGACTGTTTCAAAATTTCTTACTCTTTGCACTTTCTATTCAGAGTTATGAAACTATTATTGTCACTAGTCTCTACACCGAAAGATATAATTATTATGCTGCTTGCCCTTTCAGCACTACATTTACTTTCAAATAAAAAGCTATCTTGTGCTACATGTACTTTACATTAATATGTAATATTGTACCTAGTTTATGAACCCAGCCTTGAAAATCTGGATCTTTCAATTGGAAACATGGTATCAGTAATGCAGGATTAGTTTTTTTCTTTAATCCTTTATCCCCTTGAAAGAAAACCTTAGAAGAGAATATAGTGATACATAAAATTCCATTAAAATAACTCACTGATTGACTTTCAATTGTCATAGCTAAAGGGAAGTAAAGGAAACAGTGATTTAAATTTTACACAGTAATTATATTACAATTTACATGTACATGTATATGCTACAGTTACTTATAAATTGTGGCTAGACATGTGACTAGTGTGTGAAGTTGTCCTTAGACAAACAATTGTAAGGTTACTAAGACTCGTTTTAAGCTTATTCCAATATACCAAATAAATACACAGCTGATAATACATGTATCTATTATGCCACACTACATAAATGTAGTGCATGCCCCTAATTAATTATAGATAATAATAAACTCACAGCTTTCTTGGTTTGATATGCCTTCCACTTCTTCATCTGAGCTAAATTCTATGACAGGTCAATACAGTTAAAAAGTTACGTTACAATAGTAGTACTTGAAGTAGGTACAGCATGGGGTTCTTTTACTGGAGACGAAAGCTGCTTTGCATTTCCTGAAGTACTGCGGACTTTTGTGTTTGATTTCGGCTACAATTAAAAAAGAATCATTATTTATTGGACATTTGGATGCTTTTCATGAAAGGACAAATAAAGTACATGCACACTGTACATTATACATGCAGATGAAGTAAGGACCATGTACATGTGTAGGTAGACAATTAACATGCCTCACTTTTGAAAATGAGGTGGAAATATTATACAGGTAAACTTTGGAAGCCACCAATTTAGGGTTGCACTGATAGGCCAAAACATTTATTGTTCTATTTTTACTTGACAATGCAATGAAGTAAATCTTTTTTGAATACATCAGTAATTTGCATGGTGGCAAATGTTCCATTTCCTACTGCATGTATAGATGCAGACTCCATAATATGCAAGACAGACAATACTTAAGTGTCAGGGTGTCATACAGAGCGGTGAGAAAGGGGGGAAATCCCCCATACTCTAAGTTTCCCATTCCTAAAATAGTCTGAGTAACTTTAATAAATGGGTTCACACTTGCTACATTTGTACATTTCACTGTTACTCATTCATGAGTATAATAGTTTACGCCTCCACAGGCAAAACTGACTTTTGGTTAATTAGTGCAATATGGAAAATGAAATCGCCAAAAATATGCGATGTTACTGTTAATTTTTGTTGTGTCCCCCCCCCCCTACAAAACAATCCTGTATGAATCCCTGAGCGTATTCTACTTGTAATAAATTTCATGTTGCAGTTAGTCAATCGTACTTTCAGCACATGTACATGTAGCTTAATTTTTCTCCACTCTGTACTGGCTTTCAGTAACAACAAAATTTTAGGAATGGATTATGACATACATGTATGTATCAGATTTGACTGTAGTGTTGACATTGTGTAATGTACTAACCTGTATTGCAATTTTATGAACAACACCACCAATTACTTTAGTTTCATATGCAACTCTACAAAAGATACATAAAATAATTGCTTGGTGCTTGAATGAAAGAAAAATGTTTTATCGTATTTGGTGAAGCAAAAAATATACATTTTCAATTTATAAGATAAAAAATTGAGAAATTGAATGTTCAACATTTATCATTCATCAGTAGTGATCAATGTCCAGTAGAAATTCAAAAAACTTACAATTAGTACATGCACATGCAAGTGTACATTATTTTTGAACACTAAAATGACAAAAATTGAACAGAAAACACATGCATAAATGATGAAAACACACAGAAACTTACGCTGGTTCATTACCAGTACTATTAGTACTGTCATCAGCTTGTGACACATATGCTTTGCTATCAGCTACATGTACATGTAGAAAAATTTAAAAATGCTATACATAATACAACTCACATTTCCTTCCATCAGTTTCATCCTTAAAACTTTGGAAACCTTTTATAGCAAAAGTAAAGTACATGTCAAAATTTTAGACAATTACTTTCTGATGTGTGAACTCTTTCCAGTGAATGACGACTGTTACCAGAAGCATCAGCAGATTGTCTTCTACTTGTTTGACTTGATATTTTAGTGTCACTGACTCTTAGTAATAGAGACACTTCACTGCCACTTGCTTTTAATGACTTAACTACATTCTTCACTTCCCAACTAACCTATAAAACATATCAAAGTTAAACTTATTGCACATACATGTACATGTACATGTATGTTGTATTAAAATAAAACATACATATAATAGCCTATTAAACATATAAATTCTAACCACATTCTGATCATTGATTTGTATAAGTTCCACTCCTTCATACATCTTCCCGGATCTTGCAGCAGGACTCTAAATACATAAATAAAGGTACTGTACTAAAACAGTTTTTATCTTATGAGTCAGTAAAATGTTGATTACTGGCCAAATGAGATATACATGATTGTTAATTAGTGTACATCTATGATGTACAAGTATTTAAGAATGAATAAAACACAAACTAACATCATCTTCAATATGACTGACAACTAGAGCCCCTCGTCTACTTCTTTGAATACTAAACCCCTAAATGGAAGAAAAACATATTTAAACTAGACAGAGCCTCATAGTCACAGTTAAGCTTGCAGCTTCTTATCATTTTTGTTCATCATGTCATGTACAAATGTACTGTGTGAATGTGATTATTAATATTTTTGAAGGGATGGGGCTATGTCCCTAACTTGTGAGTGAGAGAATGCTTTCTTGTGTGAAAGAATCAAGAGTTTTTCCATAAGACAAACAGCTGCAATTTCTTTAGCATAGCTAACTAAGTATTTCTTAGATATGGCATTTAAAGGTCCCAACTCACTGATGTTGCCTATGCCCTCCAGTGGACCTGCCAAGCTCCAGCACCTTTCTGGTCATGGGTGACAAATACATGTAAGTGGCAACTAAGAGGCAGCTCTAGTCACCCTTAATCATGCTACGGCAGTCACTTGGCCTGGCTGTCCTTTTTTACAAAGCAATGTGAAGTACTTTAAGAAGCTTCAACACAAGGCTCATCTCAAACAAGACCCTTCACCCAAATGACTGTACATGGGGAAATGGTTTCGCTGGCAAGACTACATGTAGGTCTATGAAGTGGGAGTTGTAAAATTACTACTTTAATCCATCTACACTACATAAGGTGTCAAAATTAACATCAGATTAATGATCAAAACCTACAATTGCAACTTACCAAACCTTTAGACAAATGAGGTATTAAAGTCACTGATGATAAAGAAACTGAGTCTGGTTTAGTAAATTGCTCAGGTGTCATTAAGTCATTAGTGAGTTGCAGTATTTGTGAACACTATAAAATATAATTTTTAATACAAGCAGATAAAATATTCTCATACAACAATAATACCAAACTAAGTACATGCGCATGTACTACACATTTGAATATTAAAGTTAAACTTATGCAGCTGATCCATTTAAACAACAGGCACTCATGCAATAAAATAAGATTTAGTACAGATAATGCAGTACTTCTATACAAATTATTCCTTAATAAATTTCGATACAATACTAAGCAGGTAAACACAAAGCAACACATTTGCATACCATATACATGCACATGTACATGTAGCAGGGAAAATTGGTTGGCAAATCCATGACAAAATTGCTAAAATAAACCTGCCATTCTGAGAATGCTCAATGACGTGTGGTTGCAAAATTGCCAATATCAAAACTGCCATTACATTATAGTAAAAGAATTGCCAATATCAAGCATTGTCAAACAGTGACGCTATACAATATAAAGAATAGAGTACAAAGTGTATTTTATAATCTCTAATTGAGATGGGCAAAAGAAAATATACAAGTACTGTACACATAGAGCACTCAGAAAGGGCTAAACAATAAAAAATCAAACAACAGATTAATAATTAAAGAGCATGATGTACATGTACATGTGTATATACAGTATACAATGCATGTTACACTAGACATCAAGAAATTAATGACGACTAACAAAACAATAACTGCAACTTACAACATTGGAAACTTCATTAAAATCTGTATCATCACAATCCTATATGTAGGACAGAGACAATAAGTAGAGACTGATAAACAAACGTAAATGTACACGCACACTACAACTAACAAGAATTGTCAAGAAAATTTAAACTTATTATGAAAACAAACAAAGTAAAACATGTCATGATGCTCCTTTGCATTCAGCTGAGCCCAGGAAGTGATTACACAGACCTTACCCAATAATTAAATATTCACAACTGCATGTTGTAAGGTATTCTTTCTGACTGGGTTGTATAATATACAATAAGCTTAAAGCTAAAAGACACAGATACTCCTCAAAGTACCACAACAGAAGTAAGGAATGGATCAGTATATGCTATAACTGCAGTTACTGTTTCTGGCTTCTAAGAACACGTAACCTTAAGATCCTTTGTTGTTGTCTTGGTTGTCTATCTATTGCTGCTTTTGTAGCTATTAATGATCATCCTGATAAGCTAACAACCCTTACAAGTGTCTTCAAGGAATGGGTTTTAATGGTTTATGCTCTAAAATTGTTCTATCTCGCTATGCTGATTAGGGTCCATTTATTACTCATTAAGCTTCCAATTACAATCAAGAATTAATGGAGGAGCAAAACTGTTTTTGTGGGTCAGCATTGAACTACAAAATTAAAAGATGTGGCACTAAATTTGGAATTTCCCCAAAAAAATATTTCGCGAAAAATTAATTTTTATCAATCCACAAAATTTTAGCTCTGCAAAATTAAATTAAAATTAAGGCTGAGTGATACTTCTGTTGAAAGAGATAAAAAGGTGATTACACTCCAGGTCCAGGAAGCCTTGACTCATTAAGCTAATGTGGGGCTAAATCAAAAAAGTAGTATGGAATTACTTTAAGCCTTAGCTATAGACCACCCTAGGCGTGAATTGGAAAAGTTATGAATTTCATTAATTTTATATATGGTATATGCCCACACATCATAATTGGCTGCCATTTTGGTTGGCAAGTTTATTATGGAAGTCAATGGAGGCACGAAGAAAATGCCTCACTTACCTGCTGTAGCTCTATTAATAGGTAAAAAGCACTTATTATAAGAAAGAACAGCTGCCTCTAAGCTTCTCCTGTCAAGGAATTGGTCAAATTTGCTCCAGAATTCTTAATACAGGTTTGTTTTTATGTCGGTCTGTTTGTTCTCCATTGAAAGTTGCCAACCAAAATGGCGGCCGGAATTAATTTCATCCTAAACCATGCCTTACAACCGTAAAAATTTCTAATAATCTTCCTATGCATTCAATTCTCGCCTAGGGTGGTTTATAGTACATTACAATTTTGAGAGAGTGATTTTGTATTACTGGAAAAAAGCAAACACCTGAAGCTCATGCTAGGTATTAATTACTGACCACATCCAACAGGTCTTACCAGCTGTTACAGAGAATCAAGGACAGAAAATTTGCTTTCAGCATTATAAATGCATCTGCATGTACAGTACATTATTGATAATAATTAATAATTATTATCAATTTTTCATTATGTCATAATTCAAAAAATATATTTTGAATGAGGATGTGCCATACTGAAAGAAATTGAATGCTACATGTACATTACTTCATGTTAGATACATGAAGCTCTGAGAACTGGAGAATAAGTTATCAAATGATGATTGAAAAAGTGACTGCTATGTGATGAGACTCAGACCCTAGTGAAGGAAAGAGGGACTGTATACATGTAAGCAACAGCTTTATTGTGAATGACATTATTGGACGAATTGAAAAAGTGCAGAAAGTTTGTTGTTGAAGTGACATTGAACAAGAAGAAAGGATCCAAAGAAAGAGTTTGGAAAGCAAGAGTTGTGACATCTGAAAAAAAGGCCCAATATGCCTCCCACAAAAATAAGTAAAAAAAGTACAGTATCAAGAAGACATAAAACTTGTCAAGACAAACAGGTAAAATATGAAGGAAGAGAAAGATCAAAAGAAGAATGAGTACAGTGAAAAGTGACAAAAACATTTACATGTACCTGCATGTACATGACAAAAACAAAAGTACACAGCTTATTTAAAAATGGGATTAATTACATAAAATATATTGTAAAGAGAACTATCTTACAAAATAAATGCAGAGTACAGATATTGCACCGAGCTGAATTATTACAATTCTTACCAGGACTCTTGCAAGGTTCATGCAGCAACTCAATAACTGTAAACGAAAGTCTTCATAGCATTCTATCAGTTTTGTAGGAAATCTATAAAATTTAGGTAGAATTAATTCAAAAAATGCAGTTAATAAGAGTGAAATATGACATACATGTATCACCCTTAATTCATTTACCAGCACGGTGGCACTTCTGAAGTCTTTTGCAATTTTTACACATGCATAAAAAATAACACATACAGGAAGGCAGCTAAAGAATGGTAATGTACACTGTACATGTAATTGTCACAAAAATAAAAATTTAAAAATTATCGTTGCGTAGCTACATGTATATGCATAAACTATCCCACAGGAACCACACTATTTTGACAATCAGTGGTAAAAAAAAATTTGTAGAGACAGTTTCCAACAAAAGTTGTACAAGGAACTTTTAACTGTTCCAGTTCAAGTAGCATGTTAATAAAATAATAACATAAGGCTGATGTGGGGTCATATACAGGAACCCATGCATATAAAATAAAATAAATACAAGTAAAAAGATTAACCTGTCTAGCCAGCCAATCAAAAATTTTGCTGCCTCCACTACCGTAACTCCAGCTTCAATACAATACAAAAGGCTATCATCACCCTAAGAAAAAAGCAATGCATTAAATGTGACCCTATACTGTACATGTACTTTACAAAGAACATATTGTACACACATACAGCATTAAAGGGTAACTGCAATGTATTTTTAGGTATTTATTTTATGGTCTTAATATGATTGCCTGACCATAATGAAACACAGACAGACAAACCGAGTACCTAGTCCTCGCCTACGCAAAGCTGGGCGAGGCCAATAATGATGTGTTCCAACTCCTATTGTCTAAAAAAATTTATTCACTAAGATATGAGCCTTCAAATATGCTCATTTTGCTTGCTTCAATGTTACTTCCTGTCGGTGGGTGTGGCTAAACGTGACGTCATAAGAGGCATAGATGCAGATAAATCCATTGCTGTACAGGGAGAAATAATGCTTTATTCTCATGCCCAGTAATGTAATAGCACTAATTTAAAGATTGGGATCCTTAGCTTTCATTATTCCAAGCATGAAACTGCA